AACCAATTCACTCGATTCTCGATCCGAATAACCCATTCGCCGATCCGGATCGGTTTTTTAGAAGCCCGATCCGGGTCACCGATCCGTTTTTTAAACCATTGCTACCCAGTGCAATTTTGTTAGAGAGCCATCATGTAATCAAAACATTCTATGCTCTCGCGGGAACATTTTTTTCAATCACCCCATCAGATAAGCCAAATCCCTTTTTTTAGTGGGTGCGGTTTACTATGAACAATCGAAATAAAGCTCTTTTTCAAGTAGTATCGAGAAATATGGTTTCAATACTGAAAATCTTTATGATAACCTTAAAGTATATTTCACTTTTATTTATAAAATTTAAAATTTAAAAAATAGTGTAGAGCAAACAGATCTATAAAAACTTGAAATCTTAAAAATTTATGGCCAAAAAATGCCTTACAAAATACATTATTTTCAAATCTTGAAATCCTTTTTTTTCTCATGTCTATACATCTTGATGTCATCAAGATGATTAACGTGAGCATATTTGGGCATCAGCATTTTGAGAAGGGCTCTAATTTGATTGTATGTATAAACTTTTTATCTATTTATTTTTTGAGTAATTGAGTAGGGCAGGGCTCCCCTAAGACATCCACGTCATAGCATTCCATCATACTGACTACTTACCCTTCAACCCATCCTTGGGTAAACCGAATCTAGCAAGATGTTTATGGCATAAAGTTTGGGGATAGAAATATTGTGGACCTAAAAGAGAAAACTAAAACTTTAAACCAAAAAGATGTTTGTCATAAATTTTGGGGATCCAAATACTTTCTGCCTAAAATTAAAAAACTAAAACTTTAAGCGAATTTTTTTTAGTGATATATAGACTATCATTTTAAAGAACGGAAAAGTTTATATAGAGCCGAGGCTCTAAACAATCAAATTAGAGCCTACCTCAAAAATTTCACTATAAGAGGCTTTTTTTATGCCTAAATGTCCTCGAATTGATCATCTCGACATCAAGATGTATGGGCTTGAGAAAAAAACTAGCTTTCACGTTTTGAAAATAGTATATTTTTTAATGTACTTTTGGACTGTCAATTTTCAAGATTTTCAAGTTTTCATAGATCTATCGATCTACACTATTTATGAAGCTTTAAACTTTATAAATAAAGATGAAAATATATTTTAAGGCTATCACAATGACTTTTAGTATTGAAACCATATTTCTCGACATGATTTGAAGGTAGGCTCTAATTTGATTTTTTAAAGCCTAAGCTCTATACAAACTGCACCTTTTTAAGAACTTCAAATATTTTATGTTAGTACCCCGGGCGCGGGTGCGGGTGTGGGCGTGGTGTACCAGCCGCATACAATGAACCAAACACAATTAACATGAAATCCAACATTACCAAGAGAAGATTACAAAACGACGAACTCATGTGAAAAGAATCACCATGAGCAAAACGTAACATTATATTGATTGTGATTTGGGTCGTCAATTTCAAAGTCTGAAGCAATTGATGAACCAAGTAGACAAAGGGGTAATTACAAAAAACCTCAAGACTACACTTTCTATGTAATTTACATCAAATCTAACTTTTTCTCTCACTTTTTTCTCTAAAATATGCTTTTTATGCAAATACCCCCAACCAAAAATAAAAATAAAAAATGCTTAAACTACCCTCTCTTACTTTTACTTTATCCATGCCTCTCTCACCTTTATCCTACTGAAAGAGGGCTCTGGCACTGTGTAAATGCGGTCCGGCAGTAAAACACTCTCTAAAAGG